GTGGGGGACCTTTTTCCCTTAGGATATGATCTTGAATATTTGAATGCCCCGTACGTGAGGTGACGAGCGCGTACTTGAGCTAATTGTTGTAAATCCGTTTCTACTTGCAGTATTTAAATTGAGCTTTCTTGTTTACTTGCTCATTTTAATTGCAAGTTTGTACCTATGCTAGCTTAGAGACTCATGTTTAGCTGGCTTACCTGCTTATTTGCTTTAACTGTGCTATTGGTACTCTGTGAAGCATGTTAGGCTATAATTTACTACTTCGTGTCCTGATTTTTAGCATTGTTTCGAGATTTAGGAATCGTTGTTGTTGTGTGTTTAATTTGGGACTACGGGACGGCTTCCCGGGAGACCCCTCTGTACTTGAGATATTCTGGACAGAGGGTGCGGGATACCAAGAGATCCCTGGCACATGTGTTTCTATATATATATATATTGGGATACCAAGAGATCCCCGGTTTACTTATTGAGGATACCAAGAGACTGAGGATACCTAGAGATCCTCGGGATACTAAGAGATCCCCGACTTACTTATTGAGGATACTAAGAGATCCTCGGGATACTGAGAGATCCCCAGTGTTGATGATGAGGATACCAAGAGATCCTCGGGATACCAAGAGATTCCCCGGCTACTATTCCTTGTGAGGGCAGTTTTCCGTGTATTGTTACCTTTGCTTTCTATTACTGTTCTTCCTTATTTACCTGGTTTAGATTCTCGCTGTAGACTTTATTTAAACTATTTCTGTTATCTCATTATTTATTATGTTATCTCAGTAGGGCCCTGACCTTCCTCGTCACTACCCAACCGAGGTTAGGTTTGGCACTTACTGAGTACCGTTGTGGTGTACTCATGCCCTTCCTGCGAATGTTTTTCATGTGCAGATCCAGGTACTTCCTCCCAGACGTATCATCCTCGTGGTGGAAAGTCCTAGCTGAGACTTGAGGTATATCTACTACGTTCGCAGACCAGGAGTCTCTACTCTATTCCGGCTTTAGCAGATAGTTTCTTTTCTTTCCTTTCATGTTGTTTAGACATTCTGGTGTAGAGCAGTTTACTACATTCTATTAGCCTGTGTTTCCCGTGAGTTTCCGGGTTTTGGGATTTAGTTGCAGACTTCCGCATATTTTGAGTTGTATAGGCTGAGTGGCCTCATATACAGTTGTTATTTCCGTATGTTCAGTTTTTAATTTATTATTTCACAAATGTTAATTTGTTATTCCGCACTGTTAGGCTTACCTAGTTGTAGGAACTAGGTGCCATCACGACATGTTTCATGGAGGGTGAACTGGGGTAGTGACATAGATCAACACATAAAAATCATGGAAATTTATAATTATAAAAGAATATAAGTGTGTAAATGCTGAGCAAAATCACAAAAAAAACTCCTAGAACATCCCAAAACCCGGTGTCCCAAGTGCATGAGCATTTACTAAGGAGTACAATAACAATACAATATCTGTCTGGAATGTAAATAAGATAGGATAGATTAAGTGGTACGATGGAGGCTCTGTGGGCTGTGATACGTAGCCTGGAATGCACTTCACCTTAAAGTCTCCTCAACAGATGTGCCTACGCGCCAAGATAATCGCTAGCTGAACCTGTCAGGTCCTGCACATTTAGTGCAGAAGTGCACCATGAGTACATAAATCAATGCGTACCCAATAAGTAGCTAGCCTAACCCCGGAGAAGTAGTGAGGAGGAGTCGACATCGACACTTACTAGAGGTCCAATAAAGCAATATAATAAATTATAAGAATATATGAGGCACACAACAATAATGGGGTAAATCTGTAAGGTACATAATCTTCGAAATATTTAATTTAAAGTGTGAATTTCTTAGTCTTGTATTCTAACTTAACAGCTCAGATAATGTCAAGTGCCAATATTAAATGTATACGGAGTACCATTTAATGTGCCGGGGATCAGTGGAAAGACAATCTCATGAATATTCGGACTGCCAGCGATATAACGCACGATTATGCCGAGGTCGTTGGGCCCGATCCAGAATAATATGTACACTGTCGTGGGTCGAGTGGCACGAGCCATAGATGCATCTATTATACTGCCGAGGCATTCGGCCCGCTCCACAAGAAAGAAGGAAATTACCGAATTTTGAGACACGTGCTTACAATACAGTACATGAGTACGAAGCGAATATAACCTTTACTTTTTCTCAAATAACTTGCCAACAACTTAAGGTGATAAGGCTCGGCCTAATATATACATATATTTCTAAATCAATTTCAATTAATTAAGCCAGCAGTTTGAGTCCAAATAATTCAAATATTACATGATAAAGTCCTAAAGCTACCCGGACATAAACATGCTTTACCTGCGTATAGCTCTCATCACCTCGTGCATACGTGGTACCCACAACTAGTATAACATAACAATTACATCACCTAGGGGGTAGTTTTCCCCTCAGAAGGTTAGACAGAAGACTTACCTCGCTCTAACACTCCATAACCAGCTCCAAAGCCTGTCTAACACCTCAAACCGATGCCCGTCGATCTAAAACTAGTCAAGCAATGTGCAAATCAATAAAAATGTACTCTAATACCCATAATTAATCAATTTATAAAAATTCTCAACTCCGCTCGAGAATTCAATAAAGTCAACCCTTGGGCCCAAGTGCCCGGATATTGAAAATTTTCGAAGATAAACATTATCCATAACAATACGAACTCAAATATATGATTTATTCTCAATTCCATATCCAATTTCGTGGTCAAAATTCAAAAATATCAAATTCTAGGTTTTCTTCAAAATCCTACAACTTTCCATCAATTTCCATGTTAAATCCTTATAGAATCCGACAATCCATATAATTAAATTACAATATGCGGGAATTACTTACCCTGCAATAGATGATGAAAATCTCTCCTTGAAGCTCTCCAAAAATCGCCCAAACCAAGAGAGAAATGAGTGAAATGTGTAAAAATCCCAACTTAAAACAATTTGCCAAGGCCCGTCCTTCTTCGCGATCGCGGGAATACCTTCGTGGTCGCGAAGGCTAAAAATACTGCCTCCCAAAATTCCTCTTCGCTTTCGCGGTCAAAAAGTCGTGATCGCGAAGGCCAAACACTTCCAGGCCCCCAGCTCCCTTCTTTCTTCGCGTTCTTGACAACTGTGTCGCGTTTGGGTAGGCATGCGCCAGTCCTCTTCCGCGTTCGCGACCCCTGTAGCATTTGCGTAGAACATAAATCCCTCAGCCGAAAATTCTTCTTCGCGAATGCGTGAGACCCTTCGTCTTCGCGAAGAACAACACCAGATACCAGCACTAGCAGTTGGAAAACAGGAAAAAATGTCCAGAAACCACTCCGAATCACACGCGAGGCCCCCGTCCAATCATACCAACCAATCCCAAAAAACGAAACGAACCTGCTCGAGGCCTCAAATCACACTAAATAAAACCAAAACTACGAATCGACGATTGAAACTTTATTTAAACTTACAAGCTTCCAAACTTCGAGTGAATGCGCCCGACTCATGTCAAACATTCCGGAATGACGCCAAACTTTACACACAAGTCATAAATCACGATACAGACCTATTCCAAGTCTTGGAACCCCAAACGAACATCGATAGCACTAAAGTCCACCTCAAACCAAACTTAGGAAATTTTAAAACCTTAAAAATGCCAACCTTCCACAATTAGAACCAAAATATTTCCGGGCGACCCGACACTCAACCCGAACATACGCCCAAGGCCGAAATTATCATATGAACCTATTGAAACCTTCAAATCCCGATTTCAAGGTCGTTTACTCAAAAGTTAAACCTTAGTCAACTCTTCCAACTTAAAGCTTCCGAATTTAGAATTTTCCATCCGAAACAACTTCGAACTTCTCGAAATTCAGTTCCGACAACACGTATAAGTCATAATACTTGAAGTGATGCTACTAAGGCCTCAAACTGCTGAATGACACGCTAGAACTCAAAATGATCGTTCGGTTCGTTATATCGTCGAGCATGCCTAGTAGCCTGATAACAGAGCAAGTTAGGAAACACTTTAGGTTAAAAAAAGAGGAACTCATAAGCACTGTGAGCTTGAGAAGAAAATTACTAACACATTACCAACCTGCTACGTCATTGCCCGGAGAAGAACTCCAAAATACCACAACCAACAGGGAACAAATAAATGAGAATCTTGATAAAATCATTGAATCCACACAACTGAAAGGGAGTGTTGACAGTACCTGGCCCGATGCTAAAGGAAACATTCTAGGAATTGGTGGGTTGGTCCCAGGAACTTGACCTGCAGAGGTAACCAAGATATAGTTAAAAAATGGTATCATGACGTGTACTTTAAACGATACGAGAGTGAGTATTTACATTTCCCTATTAAAATGATTTTGAAAGGATAAATGAATTTTGTATTAAGAAATATAAGTAAAGCAATACATGGAGTAGAAATTTTACAGTGTATTCAGAAAATATTTGTAACTACCAAACAGGTAATTCCTGGATGAAGATGAACAAGACCTGTTTTGGTTCTTCATTGTACATAAAAGCTACAGAAGTTTGCTCATACCCATTGTCAGCACAGTGGGGCAAGTAGCTCAACATTGCCTTCTTAGAACATAAGACAAGACATACAAAACAAACAAACAAACACCAAACATAACAAGAAACCAAAGACCCTCAGTTTCGGAATTACTTCACCAAGTAAACAATAAATAAAAACAAAACAGCCAATCTACTCCCTGACTCAATACCATTATAGGTGGAAGTTAAAGAACCAAAAAGCTTACCCAAACATAACCATGCATTTTTGATATGGACTTCCACACTATGTCAAAGAAAAATGTGGCAGTTATCAACATAATATCAGTTGTAACCTTAATGATGAAACAAGTACCTGCATCAGCCGTAGTGCCAGGTAACATTGCAGTGGTAGGAGGTGCCGTATCATGAACACCACATATTAAAAAGAGGTGAATCAAATAAAGAAGGGTGAAGCAAATATGAATATCATTTCTAAATATGCCTTCAAACCAAATATGAATATTATTTCTAAACATACCTATACACCAATACTTGAAATAAACCTTACTTAGTTATGCAGTACTATTACCTTTATATAAAGCAACATACTAAATAAATTTTTTATTCAAGCATGCATGTATCTGCTGCTAAGTTAGTAGCAACATTTGCCTCTACTACATAGTCAGTTATAGGGTCTGTAGCTAGTTGTACATACTCATCACCATCACTGAAGAAATATTTGAATTCCTAATCTTGGTATGGCTCATATACTTCATCTTCCACTACTTCTCCTATATTATACAGATCTCTTGGCTTTAGATGCACATCAACACTCCACCCTTTATTGACAACATCATCCACAGAGTACACTAGTTGTGCTTGAGATGCTTCGATATAAGGCTCATGTTCTTCACGTTCACCTGTATGAATCAATCTATCAAAATTACACAATTTAAGTTCCAACAATCCTTTTTATACCCTCTATCTCGAGGAGTATCAGCCCATTTACATTTGAAAAGAATAACCTTGAGCCGACCATTATAATTAATCTCAATAATATCTTCTAACTTCCCATAATATGGTAACTGTGCTTGCCTTAAATCTCAGTCTACACTACTTGCAATACATGATGTTTTGATGTTATATGTAGTAAAACTTCTTGCATGTGCCGATGGACCTCGTGCAAGAAACTTTAGATCAATAGACATTGTATCTATTGTGTTTGGATTCATAATCAAATTCAAAATAAAATTGTCGAAGTTTCATTCAAATCAAATGTAAATAATAATTAATGATTACTTACTCACCCGCTTTTGGAACCAATCAACAAACTCTTTATTAACTCTCCTCTCTATCTCAGCAGGCGATGGTCTTCTTCTTGAACTCCTCCTTATGTATTGTCTAGATTCGCTATATGAAATAATTATATTAACGTTAAAGAACATGACTAGCCTACTTCAAACATTAAAGTGATAAAGAATATAAAGTTCGTATGAGTTTCACTCAAAAAATGGCGTGAAAATTGCACAGTTCAGAAGCACATATCGATGAGCTTGTAGTTTCTGCATATGAGTTAAAGGGAACGTAATCGATGATGCAGGTTTACCTGATTGAGGGAAGATAGAGGACCTTCTAGAAGGCTCAGTGACATTTGGGTCATCAAGAACACGCCTATGTCTATTGAATCTTGTCTCAATATCCTCAATATACCGAGAACAAGAGGTAAGAGACTCTTCAGCTAAGTAACCTCCAGCTATAGAAACCTTTGGTTGTGCTTTATTACGTATAAATGACTTAAAATGGCCTAGTTTCCCACAAAAATAATAGGAAATAAGTGTACAAACTATTTAAAATGACATGAATACAAGTATACCCAAATTAGAAATGTTAATGTTTTACCTCTCAATAGGATAAATGTTTCGGTGATGCACTAAAACTCCCAGTTTTGCTTCTTCTGCTAGATGGACAGCCAAATGAACCATTACTATAAAGAATGATGGAGGAAATGGTATCTCTAGGTGGTAAAATATGCTTTCAATGCGCTCTTGGATCTTATCAAGCTCCGAAAGATTCATGGTCTTGCTAGAAAGGGCAAGAAAAAAAAATGAGCAAAATTGCTCTAAAATAATATGGCAATCATGACTTTTCAATCCAAAATTCATTTTTTGTACCAAATCAGCACATCTAAAAATGTTACTTGAGTACCCATTTGGTACTTTAATATTCTTCAAAGTTGTAAGGAACAACTTTTTGCTGTCCAGCTTCTTTTTGTCATCAGTCACAAGTAAAAACATAACAAAATGATATTTACCACTATCATCTGGCCAAAGATCACGCCTTATGCCCATTTCTCTTAGATCCTTTCGGGCATTAATATTATCTTTTGATTTTGATTATCATGGAGCAGCGTATATATGATACTGTCACATATATTCTTTTTGATATGCATAAAGTCTAGATTATGACGCAACAAGTTAGATTTCCAATAAGAAAGTTCAAAGAATATACTTCTATTGTTCCATTGTTTAGTTGCTCTTCTAGATCTTTTCCCGCTAACATTCAACTCTGCTCCTCTTCTTTCTTCAATTTGTCTCAAAATGTCCGACCTTGATAATTTTAATGGTGGATTCCCCTCCTCTATACTTCCATTAAAGCGTACTCGATTCAACCTAAACCTATGATTTCTTCTTAGAAAATGTCGATGACCCATAAAACACCACTTTTTACTATGACAAAGACGACAAGGTTGTGTGTCAAAATTACAAGTTGGATAGGCAAAACCAGTATGTGTGTTCCAGCCAGATAGGATACCTAGTCCAGGAAAATCACTAATTGACCACATAATAGCTGTATGCATTCTAAAATTTTCATTCAATGATGAGTCAAACGTTTCAATACAATCATTCCATAGCTCACATAATTCCTTCACGAGGGGTTGTAAGTACACATCTATATTATTTCCAGGCATTTACTTGCCTAGAATGATCATTGCTAAGATGAAGGAGGTGTGCTTCATACTCATCCAAGGAAGAAGATTGTATGGAATCAAGAAGACTGGCCAAATACTATAGGTAGTACTCATTGTTCCAAAAGGACTGAAACCATCAGTAGCAAGGCCAAGCAAACATTTCGAGGATCCGAATCAAATCCAAAATGAGTCCGATCAAATATCTTCCATAACTCACCATCCCTTGAATGCCACATCAACCCATCCTCGTTACTGCCTGAAGCATGCCATCTCATATGCCCCAAAGTCTTACAACACATAAATAATATTTGTAACCTTGGTTTTAATGGAAAGTAATGTTGAACCTTTGCAGCTTGCTTTTTCTTCTTGTTAGGATTCCATTTAGATGTACCACAATGCTTACATGCTTCCAATTCCGAATCACCTTCCCAGTATAACATACAATTATTTGGACGTGCATGTATCTTGATGTAGTTAAGGCCATGTTTGCTAATGGTTGTTTTGGCCTCATAAAAGGAAGGAGGTAACATTGCATTTTCAAATGCATCTCTCAACAAATCTAGTATCATAGTCATTGCCTTGTCACTTAATCCACAATAGACCGTTATATGATACACTTTTATTAAAATCTCTAGCTTTGTGTACTTGCTCCCTTCATACAATGTTTCACTTTCATCTTTGAGAAAATCATGAAAGTCACCAAAATCCCCCTTATGCCTCTCATTTGATATTTTATTTGAACCCAATGGTTGAGATATCCCTACATCAGCCGCTTGGTGCCTATAGTGCCCAAATGCATCAGTAATCATTGTTTCTATTGGATTTTCTTGGTGAAACATCTCTTGCATAACATTTCTATCTCCGGAAGGCTCTACTACCTTTTTCTCACCATGAAGATTCCAAATAACATAATTTTGAGAAAATGGCTTGCAAATCAAATGATCCTGCATTATTTCTCTAGTTTGCCACTTGCCAAAACCACATTTAGGACATGGACATCTAATTGTATCTTCCACAGCCGCATTCTTAAATGCAAAATCAAGAAATTTATCCAAACCAAGCAAGTATTCGTTTGTGTTTCGTGGCTTTCCAATACATAATTTATCCATTGGAAAGTAATAAATAAATTAAGCAATCAGTTAGAATATACCTCCAAAATCAATCATCCAAGTCTACGAGTATCTTCAGATTTGGCTACACTTCCAATCTACTCCAAGAATTTCAAATGCTCTTTCAAACAAAGTTAATTCCAGAAACTGACAGAGGATAGGAAGAACCAATGAAGAATTCCTACTAAGGACTCCTTATATATATGTTCATTCATATAGCGAAGGATAACAAGCAGTAGAGAAAAGAGGGTCAGAACCACAAACGAAGAAAAACCTATCTGAAGAAATTTTAATATTTCCCATGGTTATTGATTATGGAGGATGGACTTGCCGCTTTCCTTGCTTCAAATAAACCATCAGTGCTTCCAATTATTTAAAATTGTAAGTCTTTAACAATTTATGAGAATTAATAGTATTATATTAATACAGAGAACTCTACACTCTTATGAGTTATGGTAAATAAGTGCTTTAAAGAAGGTAGAAAGTTTTTAAAATTTGTGAAACGAAGCACCACCACAACCGCAGTGCTAAGAACCCATCATACATAATGGAACCAAGACACATGAATCTAATGCAAAGGATCATATCCCGACATAACCCAGTTGCAATGCATAACCCCATCCAAACACTTCTCCATATAAAATACCTCAAGCCACCATGCTCAAAACCAATAACCACGCCCAATTCGACATCAAGTACCCAAGGTGCATGACCATAACCACAGAGAAGAAAATAACACATACCACAGTCCGAAAAGAATATAACCAATGCGCAATCAATCATTCAACACCCTAATATATCCATCTCGCTCAAATTCCACTATAAGGCCCAAATAGAACCACACCATGTGTGCATATAACCAACGAATCACTACCCCTCGTAGCATAGAAGAGTAACTCATAGAACATATAAGATACGAATAAAACCAGTTCTAACTGAATGGCACATCCCTCAACAATATCAGTACGGAGTAAATAAATCCGGTCCGGTGTAGAATACAAATCCTCATTGGTCTTACCAATAGGCCCCCAAACCAACTCCGGTCATCTCCGAATGGACAAATAGCCCCCCAAAAGTCCACAACGACCTAACCATAACACATACTATCATCTGGCTAGTTTTGGACACATCTTTACGGTCCACAACCACGAAACAACCTGCTTATGAGAACTCCCAGTCTCCAAATCCATATAACACATGAATCACAATATCCGATCCCAACTCCACCACCCGAATATCTAACACATCTCTCATACACGATCATTCCACGAGGAATACTTCTATAATTCTTCGGTGCCACATAGCAAAATCTGAATATCGGTAGTTGATCAACAAGGCGAGTACCACAATACCAATGAAGCATCCGTAAATCAAAACACAATGCGCCTTCTGAAATGCGCACCCATCTCAAGAAATACCAAGTAGTACAGTCGGACCTCTCTATGCATCGCTATGTAACAATCATTCACTATAAAAGCCTAAATATATGTTCTACATAACAACACCTCGCTATAACGAAAAAATGGGAACAGATGAGGTTGTTATAGAGAGGTTTGACTGTAATAGCAATCATCTAGTCGTCTAAAATCGTCGATGTTGTCTAAGAATTCATGACCTTCCCTTCAAAACTGAACTATGACCTTGCACATGCGAATCTCAACCCATACAATACACCGCATCTATCATGCCATCATATGAAAAGTACGAGAATCTCATAATCAACTCTGAGTCACCAGCAGAATACATACCCGATCAGTCAGAAACCTTCCATTTGATCTCATCCAAGAGAAAATCACAGTATGCAACATGCTCCTCATGCCAGTAAGAAATATCCGTCTCAAACCGTGGTATAGATCATCGATAACACTTCAAAGTCCATTGCACATAACCAAGCTATCCAAACTGAATCTCTCTATCTCAACCAAGTTACGTAGGTCGCCAAACCCAAGAGTATTACCACAAAACATCTGTAGGCTCACCACATCACAAGTACCCAAAGAACCTATCCTATCCATTACCGTGCTAATCCAACCCACAACCAAGCTATACCATTTCTCTGGGTTCTTGCAAATTACCCTCAAATTGACACTTCTCATTGCGAGAACACCACACTCCTTACCCAAAACTCACCATAAAGATCCTATCATAAAACCAATGAAGTGTAGAATGCGAGTCTAACCATTATGAAGAGACCTAATGTGAATCTAAAATTGTTTTCCTTTGACCTCCTGATACTGAAATGTAGAATTCATAATGATATTGAAATATCGCGAGTCTTGATACATTCTAATGCAAATCTCTGATCTTAGCTATATAAAAATTCAAAAAATCCTCAAATGCTGCATATGCATCTTAAACTCTTTAGAACCTCCTCAAGAGTCATCCACTCTGCTCAAATCTCAATTGCACCACCCAAACGGGCCAAACGACCTATACTCAATTAGCACAACAACACCCCAAAGAAGTAACACCACCTTAATACAACCGAGCACATGCCTACTCCATGCGCACTACATCCGTCATGAATAGCAACTCAAATCGTTCCATGATTTCCATGTACCCATAAGGTGCAATATAATCCGCATTCAAAAATTCCCTTACTCGAGTCATCCTCAATCTCAACCTCTGCAAGTCATAACCGATTCACAAGTATACCTCAAACAAAAACAATCACAACGCATAACTTTGCAATCTAATCATCGATAACAGACTCTCGCACTTGGCTCAAAGACATATATCAAGACACTTGATAACTCACAATGCCCACACTCTATTATTGCCATAATGCCACAGTGAGATTCAACCAAATCCTTCCTAAGCTCAGGTAACATAAACCATATAATGCTTCAAATCATCTGCTAAGTTCGTGTTCATCAACGTAACGGTCAGGTCAACTATTACAACCGATCCAAACTCAAATTGCACAAATATAACGCAGTGGTAGAAAAGAAAGCCTCGACACAATATCATAAGGATCACACATCCCTATATTACCCCGCAGGTTCTAACCCACCTGCTTAGCCTCAGACTGACATCTCTCTATACCCTTTCACAACCACAACTACTATGCAACCACTTAATCTTCTTGAGTCTGAACTCATCAATAAGACATGAGGATCCAATCCATTCCACAATTAAGCAATATGAATGATCCTTCAATACACACATAACTCGAGACTATACGTCACATTAAAACAGCAATCAAGCACCTAATAGTCTTTTTTACATCTCAAGCAAACTCTTCTCATCACATTCAATCCATTTGAACACATTACGCGATCACACCATACTCATCATATAGCCATCCAACCACTTATCGAGCCATAAATTCCACTAATAGGGACACTATAAAACTTATAAGTCCAAAAGCACGTGCTCACACAATCAAAATCTCCGTGATCAAGCTACAATTAAAACTCGGCTTCAAGTCCTCCAGATTGACCCGTCATCAGCACACAGAAATCACATCTCGCACCTCATCCCTGTAATTTACAAGTCGTCGATGCACAGCTGATACTGAGCGCTCACATGCTCATACGAATGTGTGGAAGGAATTCAAAGAGTTACACTTCAAGATGAATCAACGATGCATGATAAAGAAAGAAAGATGGGAAGTATATCCTGAACTCTCTATAGCCTCTCGAAGATAGGTATGGACGTTATCATACCGATCTGCAAGACTCTACTAGACACTTGCTCATGACTCGCAGAACCTGTGAACCTAGAGCTCTAATACCAACCTTTCACGACCCAAAAATCCAACTAATCGTGATGTCACCTAACCCAACCCGCTAGGTAAGCCAACTAATAACTATCCAATTTAATGAGAATTATTAAGAACAGAATGATAATACAACTGCTTTTATACAAAAAAATTCCCAAAGTCTGGTGGTACAAATCATAAGCTTCTATGATTTTTGAATTTACAAAGCTGGTATGAAAGGCTAAATGAGTTCGAATTTGGATAATTCTTGTATGGTTGGACTCGATATCGAATGGGTGTTCGGATCTTATAATATTGGTCGGGTTAAGATATGCGAGCCCGGGTTGACTTTTTGGGGCAATTTTTCAATTCTTTGCTAAAATCATTATTTCATTATTTAGATTTATTTCCTATAGTTATATTATAGTATGTAATTATTTTTGACTAAATTTGAGCCGCTCGGATTTGGAAAATCGAGGGAAAGGCCTTCTTATTGATTGATTGAGCGTGGTTTAACGTATGACTTGTCTAACCTTGTGTGGGGGGAATCTCCCTTAGGATTTGGTAATGTTTTTACAATTTGTGATATGTGAGGGCCGTGTACGCAAGGTGACGAGTGCATACACGGGCTAAATGTTGAAATTCCGATTTTAGCTAAGCAGTTTCCTTTTTATGCCTTAAGTGAGTTACTTTAGCATGTGTAGTCATCATGTTTAGCCTAATTTCACATGTCTACTTGTCTTATCTCTTTTTTGCAACTTATACTACATGCTTAGTTGAATTACCTATTTTCTTGATTCCGTATTCATTATTTAACTGTGAGATTCTTTACTTGAAATTGCTATTCTTGAAATATCTCACTGATAGTTTTGCTGTTAAGTTGCAAGTCTGTGGATTTTTACTGAGGCTATTCGTAAGTTGTGAAATATAATTGTTTCAGTTGTTATGTTTTGGTTTTCGTGATTTTTTGTTGAGGTGATTGTTTGGTTATTGCACGAGGTTTCTGCCGTGCGGTTGCTATTGTTGCACGAGGTTTCTACCGTGTCGTTGTGATTATTGTTACGCATGCGGTGGTATAAGGCCTAGGTATTGAAACGCATGCGGTGAGATAAGGTGGGCTGATACGTATGGCTAGTAGGGGAACTACTTAAAGACATGCGATGTGATAAGGTGGGCTAAAATGCGGGATGCTATTTCGGGAAAATGATTTTCAAAACAAAATATAAAGGCTCCCGCGATTGTGAGTTATTTTACATTTGGGACTACGAGGCGGTACCCCGGGAGTGCCCCTATTGATTTTCTCTATGTGTTGTACTGTTGTTTGTTGTTCCTTTAATTTGTAAGATTCTTGTATCATTTCGTGTTGTATTTGCTTTACTTTGATTTCTTGTTGTTACTTTTCATAAATTCCTTACTGTTTCACTTCCATGTCCTTCTTATTATGTCATTATATCTTCTGCCTTGTTCTTATCATCTCCAGTTGGGCCCTGACCTGACCTCGTCACTGCTCTACCGAGGTTAGGCTTGGCACTTATTGGGTATCATTTTGGTGTACTCATACTACGCTTTTGCATATACTTTGTGCAGATCCAGGTACATCTTATCAGCCTCGGTGTTAGTGTGTGGAGTGACTTGCTTATCGGAGACTTCAAGGTACACCTGCCTGTGTCCGTAGGCCTTGAAGTCCCCTTCTATCCTATCTTTTCCTTGTTTCTTTTATGTTCTTGATAGAGAATGATGTACAGGATTGTGCAATATTGTAGAGCTTGTGACTTAGTTCTTACCGGATTTTGAGAGTTGTATATACTTTGAGTTGCTATTTTTACTTTATACAGTTGCTGACGTTTTGAGCTTTTAGCTTATTATTTCAATTATTTTACATGCTTGTTAAGCTTACCTAGTCTTAGAGACTAGCCGTCACGACATCCTATGGAGAGAAATTGGAGTCGCGATACTAAGAGTGCATTATCTAAAAAAAAGATAGTTCAAAATACATTCATACATTAATCGTACTTAGATATTTCAGCTGCTTTTAACCATATTGCTAAGATAGATACCTAAAAGAAAAAGTCAAATCCAATAGCTACACTTCTTTGATCATATAAGCAATAGATAAGCAGGACAAGCGAAATTCTATGGGCATCATTATGTTATATAAACAATAACAAAGTCACGATTTTCAATAGTCAAATAAAAGAGAAAACTCACATGATTTATACTGGAACAAAGTGACACTCTTTACATCTAAACCAAAATATTGAAAGATTAAAAATAAGAAGGAAACTGACCTTTTTTAGAGCAGTGAAATTGGGGCATCTTCAAAGGACTATCTCAGGCCTTAAATTCGCTAACTCGAAAGGCAACAATCACCAAAAAATGCCAGATATTGATAGGAACAAACAGAGATGGAGAAGTAAGGAAGAAAGCTAAAATTTCTAGAAGAATAACAGTTAGTCTTAGGGGATAAAGGCAGATACTGAACCTTAGAATTAAAGGGGGTAGAGGTGGCTCCAAGTTGTCCCAAAAATGAGCTCCAAAGCATATATTTATATATAGAAGTTAGGGTTCTTCAGCGGAATTTTTCAAATTTGAATTTGAAATCTGAATGTTGAATGGCCTGGTTCTTCACGTGATTCTTCAGGTACAGAAAGATCAGATTTTTGAAGAGCAATTTTGGCTCGTTGTGAATCTCTCTTGTTTGACTGAAACTTTATAAAGATGAGAGACAGGAGCATTTAAAGGATATACAAAAATGGAGGTGCACATATCTTATTTTGGGGGAAGAAATCTGGAATTTTGTTCAAAGAGGAAAGGTGAGCATTGGCGTTTTTAGAGGGTTCTCTACGGATATGGGCATGACAGATCAGATTAGTTATGTTAGCAGACTTGGGCTGGTTTGAAAGCTTAGTTGGTGGGCTAGTTTGGCCGAAATTTGGGCCTAGAGTGCTTAACATTTTTCCCGTTCCTTGTATATTTCTTTAGGCTTCAATTTAGATTTAAAATAATTTTATTAGCTATCTTGTATAATACTACGTAATATTAATACGTTAATAATCAAACTATTTAATGTGCCTTAAAATAATTATTATATTTAAAATTTGTTTTAAAAACCCTTCATTAATTGTAAGTAACATATCATCAAAATTAAATATTTATAAAATATAAAGTTAAAGAAATATTATTAGTTGATTATATAAAGGAAAAGGAAATGTGCTTTAGCAATAATAATAATAATAGTAATAATAATTATAATGTAAATCATATATTATTATTATAATAGTAAAAATAACTATAGCAGATAATAGCTTTAATAATAATAACAAATAAGTCAATTAGTGTTAAAATGCTTGAATGACTATTTTATATTATTAGTAATATTAGAAGCTTAAAGAAATAGTTTGGTAGAAAGGAGGGACAAAAATGAATGTCAACACTGGCCTTTGACCAAACATATTTTCCTATAACGCCTTTTTCTCTTGCTAGCATTATTAATTTAATACGTTAATAATCAAACTATTTAATGTGCCTTAAAATAATTATTATATTTAAAATTTGTTTTAAAAACCCTCATTTAATTGTTAAGTAACATGTCATCAAAATCTTAAATATTTATAAAATATAAAATTAAAGAAATATTATTAGTCAATTATATAAAAAAACGGAAATGTGTTTTTGCAATAATAATAATAGTAGTAATAATGTAAATAATAAAAATAATAATAATAATAATAATAATAATAATTATTATTATTATAAAAATAACTATTGTAGATAATAGCTTTAATAATAATAACAAATAAGTCAATTTGTGTTAAAATAATAGAATGAGCATTTTATATTATTAGTAATATTAGAAGCTTAAAGAAATAGTTTGGAAGAAAGGAGGGACAAAATTGGATGTCAACACTGGCCTTTGACCAAACTTATTTTCCTATAACACCATTTTCTCTAGCTAGTATTAAAATTCCCCTCAAATTTTGTAACGACCCTTTAAGCACGTAACTTTTGACCCTCGCAAATTTAAAGTTAGTTTTAGTATTTAAATATTTTTTAAATATCTGTTGCGGCCAAACGCACACGCAAGTATACGCGGTCGTCAAGTAATAAAGTGACTAAAAGTCAGATGTCGATCCCACGAGGACTTGTGATTAACTATTAACTAAATTAGACTATCCTAATTATCTATACAAGAATTAAACCTAGAAGTATTTGATTCTAAACTAATTAAAATAAATAAAAACAAATAATGAACTTTGGACAGAGAAAGAGCAGATTTTTATGATATCAATGTAATGAAAACGATCTAGGGTTATGGGCTATCTAACATTCCTATTGTATTCTTCAATTGAATTGACTAACTAATTTATCTAGTTTATTGGTTGACAAGGTTAATATTGCTCATAAGAATCTGTCGAGTTCTTACTCGCCTATTCAAGCTAACCTAACTCCTATATGTCTATGGAATTAGAATCAACAAGAACGCATTTATAATTCCTGTAAATTAACCAAGCAAGGCAATTAGGTATATGTCTATCCTAACCGCGAATCCGTTCCCCGATGCCCAGGTTCAAGAACTTACTCTACTCAATCCTATATGCAATCTAGAATTCCCACTTTCGAGTTCAATTCAAGATTCGTAGATAGTATTCAATTGGTGATCAAGCAATTAAATAATTTAGTTCAGGATTGAATATATAAACCAATATGATAAACTAAGAAATCAAAATCAATATCTGAATAACAACAGTCATGAAAGAACCACAACCCTAGAACGTGAACTTTAGCTCCACATAGACATGGTAGCAAAACAACAAATCATACAAAGAAACATAAAAATTACTAAGTTGGTGAAAGAAAAGATGAAACCCAGCCTCCACGGCGGCTCTGTGGTCTTCCTTCGTCAAAAATTGCTCTAAAAAACGTTCTCCTATGTATATATACCAAGTAGGGTTGGGCCCAAACAATTATACCTTCTCCAATGTGAAAAAGGACACTTTTCCCGGGCTTAACTAGCGCGGCCGTGCACCTGGACGCGCATCTGGGCGCGCTAGTTGACAAGTGTTCTGTTTCTGGGCGCGCTAAAACTAGCGCGGCCGCGCATCTGGGCATTTTTCACCCTGTTCCGTTCCGAATGTCGAAAAACGTAAAACATAAAAGTTGTAGCCATTTGAGTTAGCTTTCCAACCATATATTTTGGAGCCAAAATAGAGTTCTGAGCAAAAAGTTATATCTATTTTACTAGACAGTACGCAATCTGCCTACTGAAGTCTTCGTTTGCTCTAACTATCATCCGTTGACCCCAAAACACGATCCCGGCTTAATTCCTTGAACTTTTACTCAAACTTTAAAGCTCCAAATCACATGAATTCATTCCGTAACATCTATATAGCTCGGAATCACTCCTACAAGGCATAAAACATACAATTAGTGCAAAACACTAGCGATTAAACCTCAAACTCAATTAAAGTGCAGTAAATTAGAGTGTAATAAGCGACTAAAATACGTAATTATAGCCTATCATCAACACCCCACACTTAAACGTTGCTAGCCCTCGAGTCAACCAAAAATTTACTCTATCTCCGAGCACTTAAGTTATTTGAAGCACACTACACCAATGATTATGGTTGATAGCAACAATTAAACTCTAGCATATGCAATCATCATGCACTTCCCTTTACTTATGTCATTCTTCAAAAATATTCAAACAAAGACAATATGCTCACAACAATCCTAGCCTCAAAAACCGACTCAATGTCACAATGCACTCATGGCTTGAACACCCAACATCCTAGAGAAGTCTAATAATGTTACCTATCCTTCGTGAAACCATGTGCCCTCACAACCAAGGCAAGAGAGTAAGTTGAATCCACACATTCGAATCTCATGATCAAATATATTTTAAGGACTCATATATATCAAAGAAAGTATTGCTCACCCTCACAAAAGAAGTTACATGCATGTAATTGATACCATAGGCTTGCCCATAATGTAAATCTCTACTAATGTAGGCTCACTCGATCTAAAATCAATTAGGACTTTTTCATGGTTGTAATATGGGCTAAGGGATGGGTAGGATATATTTAGGAATTGTGACTCAACCTCCTAAGCATATTAACACATCAAATAATCAACTTTAAGCGCAAATTCTTCAATCCCACTTCAATCTCACAAATAATATCACCCCCAAAAACGTTTCCTTCTTCTTTAAGCACTACTTTAATTCATACCCACTAGCAAGAACAAGACAACAATGTATTCATCTCAATTTTTTTTTTCTTTTCAGATTATTCTCTCTTTTTTTCAATTTCTGCTAATGGCGTATTATTTTACAAAACAAGTGCACCTTTCATCCTTTTATTGGTTCCACTCAAAAGCCACCCCACACTTAGTTCCTTCTTACTTCTTTTAGCGCTCATATCACAATTAAAGTGCTTTAAGAGGAAAAGGGATCAAAACAATATCAATTAAGAACAAAAAGGGTATAGGCTTGTAATGTGGGTGCCAAATAAAAGTCTATAGGCTAAAAAGAGTTAACTAGGGATATATTTTATTTGTGATAAGCACTAAGCTCAAAAAGATCAAATAAGGCCTAAAATCATTTTTCAAATCGAACATCACCTAAAATTTCGCTTCAACTCACATACCGGGCAAGTTCTAGACACAAGTACAATACATAGACTATACAAAAACCTCACCACACATGGCACATGACTCACTAAGAACGGTCTCATTCCAACTCTCAAACAAATGCAAATATTCACGGAGCCACGAGAAATTAAGCATGAAGCACAAAGTGAACATAAGTCAAGAAAACGAGACATGGGCATCACAAGACATGCTATCCAACATATAAGGCATCATCAATAATTTCAAATCATAGGGAAGATACTACACAGGCCAAAGCCTAAATATGCTACTATCAAACAAGTCAAGGGCGCCTAGGTTCATCATTCTTCCTCCATTTATTCCCTAAATTCTAATCTACTCTAAAAATATAAAAAAATACTACTACCCGGTTCAAACTATATCCCATGGAAAAGAACCGAGGCACAAGAAAAACCACAGGGGATTATACTACCTAAAGAAAATAAAAGACATATTTTTGGATTTTTTGTTTAGACTTTAATCCCTCAAGAAAACTGTCTAGGAGATCCATCGTCGGGAAAAGTCCAAATCTTTCAAAAAAAAATTTTTTTTAGTTTTTTTTTAAAAAAAAATTACTACACTAAGAACGAGTACTATAACTAAGCTAACATAGCACAGGAAATCACCCAGACAATCTCCTCACCCCACACTTATAATTGTGCAATGTCCTCAATGCACACTAAAAATAACAAGAGGGTAAAAGAGACTCCCTGGTAGGCCAAAGGTCGAAGAATTAGCAGCTCACGGGATACTCAAACTTCTCCCTGGTATGATCCCTTGTGCGGGTACCGCACACTTAGTTTCAACCACCTGCTCGCTTTTGCCCATGCCTCTTGGCTTTGATTCCATGCTCGTACTCCTACAAAACACAAAAATAATACTACAAAAAAAAATGTAACACAATAAAATATAAAAAAAAGTAAACAAAAAAACAAAAGAAAAAAAATGGAACTGGGTTGCCTCCCAACAAGCGCTTGATTTAATGTCGCGGCACGACGCCATCACTTTTACCACTTTTCCTTCCACTTTGAGGATATAAATTGCGCCCCCAATTTTGCATCAAATTTTCTGTCACGTTCATGGGGCGGTGGTGTAAAAATAAAGAACCCAAGTACTAGGTATCGCATCTTGCACTTCTTGGCCTTTAA